AACCATACCACGGACTCAAAGCCCTTAGGCACCACACTTTAACCTTTGAATCCAATAGGACCGTTGTTGAGAGTCACCCACTCTGACTTGGTCCCGAATTTAATCAAACCCCCAAGGCTTTGCTAGCACATGAACACCCTATCAAAGAAGCAACCGGCTGAATCACCTTTCTTGTAAATCACCTCTACACAAAGCATAAATCATGAATCTTCCCAAAACCTGAACATGGACCGATAAGGCCAAAGATAGCACATATTCCTCAAATCCTTTGCTCAAATTACCACTAATGTTTTTTTTCCTTAGTCATACTAACCCACTAGTACACCGATAACCAGAAACCACAGAAGTAGACAACCACGCAATCCAATCATAGATGGTGGGGCTCTCCCACTTAGCTTGAAGCTACAATTCAATAACCTTGAGACCCACCGAGGTTCCTTCTTCCCCATTGGCATCAGCTAAAAGTCCAACAACACACTCCAAACTCGAAGTAATGTTGCACCCAAATAAAAAATCAGTGGACCTAGTCGTTGTCCACCATGAATTTCCCAAATGGCTCTAGACTTTCCTCAAGGCGTGTGACCATCCTACCACAGAACTTATATATTACTCTGTCACTCTCCCACTTTGGTTCAACCCTCTCCTTTAAGTAACTCCTCGACTTCTACTTTTCACACTTGAACTTCTAGCAATTCAACCACTGCAAAACACCTCCCACATGTCCTTCCTTGTCCTTCATCACCTAATTGTTGCCCCAAATCCGAATCCATCTCCGTAACATCCAAAAAATGAGCCGGTACCAACTCTAAACCTTTTAAAAGATCATCTTTCTTGAGCCATCAATACTAAAAGTACCAATTCGATTCCGAAATCGCTATACTCTATTATCTCTGATAACCGCATCTCAGGCACCATTTCATAATACCCTGCCCCGAAAGCAAATTGAAGAATGCCATAACATCAGCGAACCTTAATGTGTTCAACAAAGACGATGACACCACATCACAATTAAGAACTCTACCACGCTCAAAAATACGAAGTCTCGGTACTCCATCAACCCAAATCTGAACATTCCTAGTCCGATTGCCTTTCTCCGCTAGAAATAGAATACTGAATCTCTGAATCATACACTATGTAAAACCTCATTTCAGGTCATTCACTGCCTTGACGCCTAGACAAGCATCCTATTATTACACAGACACTATGCGATAGCAACGCACAAATCATCATAAAAATCAATGCCAAATATCAAAACCTTAGGTAATACTGATGTTGAGCTGAAACGACAAGATGGCCTTCCGAAAGACGACGGTAATAGCCTAATCAAATATGCAGGTAGAAATATTTTGCACCATATCTGTAGTACCATGACAATTCCTCGATTCCCAATCCATTACAAGTTCATCACGTCGCATAAGATTGTATAGGAAAGAAATAAAGGTACAAGCCTCAAAAGGATCGATTCACACGATGAGGAATCAAGAAGGGAAGTGCTCCTAACAGCCTTGTAGCCTCTCGAAGATAAGTATATACATCTCCGTACCAATCCGCAAGACTCTACTAGACTCGCTCATGACTCGTGAGACCTAAGTGAATCTCGTGCTCTGACACCATGTTGTCACGACCCAAAATCCGTTAAAGGTCGTGATGGCACCGGACATCACTGTCAGGCAAGCCAACACTAAGTAGTTAATTAAATTCTCATTTTTATATTTCTGAGATCATAAATTTCCTTCAACTTAACTAGTAAAAGATGAACTTTACAGAATAATAATAATATTCTCCAATTTCAATACTGAATATCCCATAATCATCCAGAACCTGGTGTCACAAGTGCATAAGCACTTACTAGGAATTAAAATAAAATACAATAACTGTCTGAAATATAAATTTGGACAGAAAAGAAAAATATAAGTACTCTAAAGGAGACTCTGCTGGCTGTGGATTGTCTCATAGGATGCATCTCACCTAAGTCCCCATATCAACCACACCGCTGCGCCCACAAGGCCACTAGACGTACATGTGCCTATACAAAAAAATATACAGCAAGTGTAGTATAGGTGCGAAAATAATGCGTACCCAGTAAGTATCCAGTATAATTTCGAAGAAGTGATGAGAGGTCGATTCCGACACTTAATATGGCCAACAATAATATACCGATAATATAATAAATTATGAATTTCTTTAAGGTGATTGTAAACTCAATAACATGAAGCAGGTAAACAATTCTTTTGTTAATAAGATATTTCCAAATTTATTTTCATCTTTTAACAATTTATATCTCCGGCCAATGAGGCCACATCAATTATCAAAAATTTTAAAACAATCAATTAAGTCATGCACAAATTATGACGAGGTCGTACGGCCCGATCCAACATAATATTTAAATTATGCATTGCCAAGGGTCAAACGGCGTGAACCATAGATGCATCTATTTACCCCACTCACGAATCATACATGCGATGCAATCAAATATAAATTTAAGGAATTACCCCGCTCGCGGATCATACATGCAACGCGGTCGAATATAAATTTAAGGAGTTTCTCCGCTCGCGGATCATACTTGCGATGTGGTCAAATATAAATTTATCATTAAATCATAACCCTTTTTGATTCTTTTTAAAATAAAGACAATTCAAATTGAAACTTTTAAATCTTTAATAATCCTCAACTTAGTTCCATTTGATACAATTAACAAATATAATCAAGTAACGGTGTCCACAAAGCATGGTGTAAACCTAAACTACCCGGACATAAATAGGAATAGTAGCTACGTACAGACTCTCATCACCTCATGCGTACGTAGCCCCACAAATAGAAGTACAAATCAAATCATTTCACCTATGGGGTAAATTCCCTCTTACAAGGTTAAAAAGGAGACTTACCTCTCTTCGAAGTTTCATAACCGATTCCAACATCGCTCTAACACCTCAAACCAATGTTTGTCGCTCCAAAACTAGTCAAGCAATGTGCAAACAATAAAAATATACTCTAATACTCATAATAAATCAATTTGTAACAACTCCCATCTCCGCTCGAAAAGTCAATAAAGTCAACCCTCGAGTCCACATGCTCGTAAATATTATCTATAATTCATATGGTCTATATCCAGAAATTCATCCAATTTCATCAATGAATCGACCCTCAAAGCAAGGATTTACCATTTTTCAACGTTGATGCTCAAAATCCCAATTTCTACAATCCAAACACGGATAAAAATAGAAACCAACAGAAATAATCATGGAGAAACATCAAAATAAAGGTTATATATTTACCCCCTTGTTGAGACGAGAACAACGCCGCAAAAATCACCTCAAACGGAACTCTAGAACTCAAGATATGCCCAAAATACTAAAATTCTCGGTTTAAAACACTATCCAGACAATTTTTCTTCATCGCCTTCGCGGTCGTGAAGAGAAATTTTTTGCGTTGACCGATCAACCCAGAAATCCTTCTTCGAGTTCGCAAAACCTCTCTCGCGTTTGTGAAGAACAAATCTTCGCACCAGAAACCAGCAATTTTGTCCGTCACGGAAATGGGCACAACTCTCTCATATGACATCAAAATTCGACGATTCTTGTTACTATGGCTCCGTAGTTACGATACGGATCTAATGGTTCAATCCAATCATAAATAAAAGGTAGTTTCTCAATATAGTTTCTTTTATGCCCAAAGAAACGACGTTGAAACATCAAATAAGAGCGCGATACAACTCAAACACCTCCGAAACACACCCGAGGCCCCTGTGAGCCCGTCTAATCACACAAACCAGTCTCATAACATAACATGGATCTGCTCGCAACCTCAAATCATATCAAACAACATCAAAATCATGAATCGCACTCCAATTCAAGCTTAATGAACTTTAGAACTTCCAACTTCTACATTCGATGCCGAAACTTATCAAATCACGTCCGATTGACCTCAAAATTTGCACACAAGTTACATTTGACATTACGGACCTACTCAAACTTCTGAAATTGGAATCCGACCCCGATATCAAAAGGTCCACTTCTGGTCAAACTCCTCAAAAACCTTCAAATTTCTAACTTTCGCCAAGTTACCCCAAAATGACCTACGGACCTCCGAATCCACTTTCGGATGCGCTCCCAATACTAGAATCACCATACGAAGCTATTTCCAAACTCGAAATACCAGACGGATATCAATAACATTAAAATGCACTTCTAAACAAAATTTATGAAATTCTTCCAAAATGCTAACTTCCACAATAGATGCCGAAACGCTCCCGGGTCATCCAAAACCTGATCCGAACATACACCCAAGTCCAAAATCATCATATGAAGCTTTTGGAACCTTTAAATCCCGATGTCGAGGTCGTTTACTCAAAATCCAACTTTAGTCAGAATCTTCCAACTTAAAGCTTCCGAAATGACAATTCTCTTTCCAAATCAACTTCGAACTTCCCGAATTTCAATTCCGACAACGCGAACATGTCGTAATACCTGAAGTGTTGCTGCTTGTGGCCTCAAACCGCCGAACGACGTGCTAGATCTCAAAACGACTGTTACGAGACCGACGACGTCGTGTTACAGCTTGGCTTATCATGTCGGAGAACGGGACCTACTGCGAGACCGGTTTTACCCGTATACAGTGTTTTATTCACAATTTTGCCTCTGCATTTCCATCAATTCGGATTTGACATTAATCCTCCATTTTTTCTCGAATTTCTTCATTCTAGCATGTTAGCATTCATTAGAATGCACTATTCAATCAATCAAGTTAGTTCAATTCCAAATTAATTGGGTTAGCATATGAATCATCTGAATCCGTTCCGCTCTAGTCGGACGCATCTAATTCCTGTTTAAAATAATTTGTCTCAAAAATAAAATTTTACGTTTCAAAAACTGGAGATTCTTTGGTACAAGTTTCACTAACCAGACTAAACCTTAATTCCAGCTAAGTGGTATTAATCACAAAGAAATGGAAAAAAAAAAATGAAGAAAATAGAAATACTATTTTGATAGGGAGAAATTAGAATGGTATTCTTGAGGTTTTTAATTGTTATTGCAGTTGCTGATCTGTTGTTGTGGAGGAGACGATGCGGCAGTGTTACTCTGCTTGTTAGTTCCACTGTTCTTTGGTTTCTACTTGAGCGAGCTGGCTACAATCTCTTATCTTTTATTGCCAATGTGCTGTTGCTTTTAGTTGTGAATCTCTTTTTCTGGGCTAAATCTGCTTCACTTCTCAACAGGTATTGATTGATGCATTTATTTTTCACATTTTCTTCCTCTGTCAAAAATCACAATTTATACATTTAATGTAAGTTAATATGTATTGTCAGACTTAGTTGTGTGGAGCTTCATGAACTGTCTCATATAAGAACTTAAGTTGTTAGAGAATAGATACATTTATGTATCTTAGTTTTGCAACGCACCCTTTACATATAACCTGATTCTTTTTCATGGTCAAACATGTGAAAATATTGTCAATGGGTGGTTTTGAGAAGTTGAATTAGGACCTGATATCTTGCTGAGTTGTGTGAATTGCCTCATCTACAAGTTTAAACCAAAAAGACACATCTGCTTTATTTGTTTTACGTCTGCAACAAACATGAATGAATTGTTGTTTCTATAATTCCAGACCTTTACCTCCAATTCCTGATATGGAAGTTCCCGAGGAATTTGTCGTGAAGGCTGCTGATATGATGCGTGTTTGGGTAAACCATATACTGCGGATTGCACATGATATTGCTATTAGTGGGAACTTGATACTTTTTGTTTGGGTCTGTTCTCATGTTATCCTTCTTTTTTCTTTAGTCCAATCATTTTCGTGTTTGTTTCTACTTAATGTGGATTTTGTTCATCAGGGCCTCATAAGCAAAGTACTTTCTAATGGAGGCTCATTCAATGTTTCCTTGATTTCTCTCAATTGTGTACAAAATCAACATGTTGAAATACCTTTTATAGATTAATATGTGGTATAACCAATTAAAAAAAGATTATTAGTTGGTATTTTCTATTGATCTTAGAAGTCTGACTTCCAACTCGTATAATGCATCTGCTCTTTATATTCTCAAATATTTATCTTTTTGACAATCTTGTCTTAGAAGTTTGATCTGTTAAATATCTACTGGACATTGTCTGCTAGTTATGATTTGAAGACTTACACTCGACTCGGGTGAAAGTAAGCAAATGGGTTAACTTAAATAGTATCTTAGGACATTACTTCTGAAGATATTTTGTAGAAACTGTAAGTCTAAAGAATTAGTCTTGATTCAGGAAAGAAAATCCAGAGTCATGACAGCTTGAATGAGCTGACTGCTGAGTATCTTTTTATTTATAAGATTCTGGAGTAATAATTCTGTTGCTTCTCTGGGCTTATGCAAAAAAATGGAAGTCGAATCATCATCGTATTCTCGCAGGAACAAATTGAATTCCAATGCCTTCATAACAGGCTGTTTTAGTTCTCTGTTTCTTTTTAACCTCCTTTGATTCAACATTTTCAATATATTTTGTTAGTAGCATATCAAGTCTTTTATTTGAGCTTTAAATATGTTTATTTCACATTGTTTTAAATGTTAGAACTTTATTATTATTCTTTTTGGGAAGGAGATACAACAACAACAACAACCCAGGAAAATCCCACAAGTGGGGTCTGGGGAGGGTAGTATGTACGTAGACCTTACCCCCTACCCCAAAGGGGTATAGAGGCTGTTTCCGAAAGACCATCGGCTCAAGATAATAAGAAAAACAAGAAAAACAAAAGGGGGGAATATTAGTTTCACCATAGAGATCATAGGAAAAATAGGAACCTAAAATGCATAAGAAAAATACAAGGCAGAAATGATGGCTAGTAAATAGATCTAGCACCGAAAAGAGAAAATATTAAGACACGACAATGCCCCTAGTAATTTTCGATTAAAACCTTATCAGACTAGGCTCACAATGGAACAAAGTAACACAAGACTCAACTAGCTCCTAGCCTACAACTGTAATACTCGACCTCCACAAATTTCTATCAAGTGTCATGTCCTCGGAAATCTGAAGTCTCGCTATATCCTGCCTGATCACTTCTCCCCAATACTTCTTAGGCCGCCCTCTACCTCTTCTCGTGCCCTCCACAACCAGCCGCTCACACCTCCTCACTGGAGCATCTGGACTTCTCCTCATTACATGCCCGAACCATCTGAGTCGCGCTTCTCGCATCCTGTCATCAATGGGAGCCACGTGCACCTTCTCCCGAATATCATCATTTCTAATCTTGTCCATCCTGGTGTGCCCGCACATCCACCTCAACATTCTCATTTCAGCTACTTTCATCTTTTGGATATGTGAGATTTTAACAGGCCAATACTCCGCCCCATACATCATGGCCGGTCTAACCACCGCTTTATAGAACTTACCTTTGAGTATTGTTGGCACTCTTTTGTCACACAAAACTCCGGATGCTAACCTCCACTTCATCCATCCTACCCCAATACGGTGTGCGACATCTTCATCAATCTCCCCTCCCCCATGGATAACTGACCCAAGGTACTTGAAGCTTCCTCTACTTGGGATAACCTGTGATTCAAGCCTCACATCCACGCCCACTTCCCCCGGCTCAGTGCTGAAAATACACTCCAAGTATTCCGTCTTCGTTCTACTCAGCTTGAAACCTTTAGACTCAAGAGTATGTCTCCAAACTTTCAGTCTCTCGTAATACTAGATTGTAATATAGTTATGTACCATATTGGCATATTATGTTCCCCAAGATTGAGAAAGAGATGTAGTCCTCTTGCATTTGCGGCTGCAAGACAGTTTTGGACCTGGTCCAAAACCTTTAGTGACTGAAGTTCAGTCCTTACACCAACTAGATTTGCTAATTTAGTCGATTGATGTATGATGTTACGCTGATTCTATAGAAGTCCAAAAAGATAAAAACAAACGTAAATAAATAGTATTAAACTTTTTCCTGATTCTACCAAATCCCAAGAGGAAATGTCTTTAACTTTATACTACTCTACAAAACCCCAAAATGCAAATGTCTTTAACTTTATACTTAAAAAGCTGGAGTTATGAGGCAGAGAAACAGAGAAAATAACAAAAATATGCTTCCCCTAGTGAACTGCAAGTACGCATACATATAACTTTTGCCCCACCATGGCAAAAGAACTTATTTGTACTTTATCTCACACCTAACTAATGCGATATTGTGCATATACTTCTTTTGTTTTTATTTATGTAACACTCATTTGTTTCGAAACCGTCTAAAAAAAAATACTTTAGCCACTTTTTCTTCTAAAAATGTACTAATAATTTTTAAAATTTCAAAATATTAAAGACAAAATTATAGAATAGTGCACTCCATAAGTTGATCTTGTACTATTTTAGCTCAGTTACAAGTTTGCAAATGTGTAGCCAAATATCAATAAGGTCTTTTCTTTTCTCATTCCCTCTAATTATAACAACCTCATTTATTTTTCCGTCACCTACCTACCCCTATTGTAGTTCTCTCCTTATTTTTCACCCATAAATATTTAATTTAATTAATAAAAATAATCATATGCAAACAAAAATCAGTTCCCCATTTTTAGTGTAACCATTGATCGAGACACTAAATCAACATTCATTCGTGCCTTCTTCCATAACCAATACTTCTCCGAATTATTATTTTTTAAATTTTGTATATCTTCATGTTTATACATACCTATCACAACTACAAAACGCAAAAACAGACGCGAGAAACCTAAATTCCCATCTCCTTTAATGTTAATCTTGTTAAATTTCGATTATGATTTTGTGATAAATTTGGAGTGAGTATTGTTTAAACTTATTAGAAATAGTCTAAGTAGGTTATATACAAAGTTTGAAATTATTTGCTGGAGATTTGGACTAGTTTTATACAAGAATTGCAAGAGAAAATCGTACAAAAATTTCGTCAGAGATGCTTATAGACTTTTAAATAATGTTATACACTTCTATACAAAGAAGTACATTCTGTATATAGTTGTATAAAAGTGTATAAAGATGTATAATCACAGAGTGAAAATATTCTTAATATACTATGTATATAGGTATATAAGAAGAATAATAAGAAGAAGAAGACGAAGAAGAAGAAGAAGAAGAAGAAGAAGAAGAAGAAGAAGAAGAAGAAGACGAAGAAGAAGAAGAAGACGAAGAAGAAGAAGAAGACGAAGAAGAAGAAGAAGACGAAGAAGAAGAAGAAGACGAAGAAGAAGAAGAAGAAGAAGAAGAAGAAGAAGAAGAAAATGCGAGAAATTCACCAAATACCAGTAAATAATGTATCAACCTTGTATACAATAGTGTATAAGAGGTGTTTATATACTATTTATACAATATTATATATTATTATACAATTGAATCCTATCAATGGAGCTTCACGTGTTCTTCTTCTTCTTCCTTAGGCATCCTCTGAAATTTAACTCAAATATAGCCTAAATCTACTCCAAATCACTTGAAATTTAAGTTTTGAACTCATCTTGATATTTCCAATCAATTGGGACAACACCCATTCCAAACAACTAACATATCGAAAAACTCACTTTCTAAAATCAAATCAAATCTTTGAACCACCTGTAATGGTGTAACCATTGGAATCCGAAAAATAATTAAAGGAGAATAACAATAGTAGAGAAATTTTTGTGGTGCAAAGGCTGACACGGGAAGAAGAAGAAGAAGAAGAAGAAGAAGAAGAAGAAGAAGAAGAAGAAGAAGAAGAAGAACGAAGAACGAAGAAAAAAGGGGTGGGCTAATTGGTGAAAAGTAATATTTAGGTTATGTACAACCTGAGCTACACTGGGTAAGAGCTTCAAACGTGAGCCATTTTCTGATGGGTGTTGAGCCAAGTGATAAGGTATGTAATTCTCCCAAATTAAACTATGAGAAACTTTCAGAAACCACTATGTTTTAGTGGTTATTAGCTAGTTGTAGCTACCATTTACTATATTACTTCCTATAACTATGTTTTCAGATTTTTTTTGAGTGTATTCAATGTATTTAAGGTACTGTATTCATGAACACAGTAGCATTTCTAGGCGTGAAACAGGGGATTATAGCTAGACAGATTTTTGTATTCGAGTGTATTCGACTGTATTCATGGCGTGAAACATGGGATTACAGCTGGACAGATTTTTGTATTCAATTGTGCTCACGGCGTAAAACAGGGGATTACACTATTTTTAAATGGAAAGTGAATCAATTAACATAATAGACTCCTAATATAACTCAACAAACTCAATTATAACACACAAATTTTGTATTTCCAGTTATAAAAAAATTCTCAATCAAAAAACACCCCAAAAACATAGTAATCTTCAAAGAAATTATATAATACATCTGAATACATAAATTATATTAATTAAAAAAACATATGAATACATTTATGGAATATAGCGAGACAGTGAATACTATAAAATACATAGAATACAGCAGGGTACATTGAAATACAATAATAATAAAAAAAAAAGGCAATGAATATAATGAAATACATAGAATACAACGAGATACATTGAAATACAATGAAAAAAGATAATGAATACAATGAAATACAGCGAGATACATTGAAATACATTGAAAATATATTAACAGAAAATTCAAGTTGCTCAGCACCCAACTCTGTCGTCTTTGTTCAAAAACAACCCTAAGCTTGCGACTCTCGGATCTGTATCTCCTAAAGCTCCCATCTGTATTTTCAAACCATCCTTGTGACATTCAATCGACCGATCTAACTGTCCAAGCATAGAATGAGTATCATCGAGCTGCATATACACTAAGAACGTCGCGAGCGCATGATCTGCACCTTTTGAAACTTTTGGCACCTTAATCGTCCTTTCTAGCCCCGGAATCGCCTCTTCGAACCTTCCGAGACTACAGCATATAGCCACTACGACGTGGAGGCTCATCGCCAGATCCAAACTCTGCTCGCAATCAGAAGCCCAAAGTTGAGTAAATAAATCAAATGCAGTAGCAA